GATTGACAAGTGAAGGGCATTTCTCATGAAGGGCTTGATTAAAACATTCCAGTTGCTGACAATAGATCTCTATATTGACAGTTCCCTGTGGATCAAGGAGTTCGAAATTAATTACTCCTTTGATGTACCACCAAATACAAAGCATCACTTTCTACAGATGGAGTCCAGGTTTTGGGGTCGGAGGTGGTTTTTGTCTAGTACTGAGCTATTGTTTTTGGCGTTTTACATTCGCATAGAGAATCCAATTTTTCATCACCGGTGACAAGTCTGTCCAAAAATGATTCAAGCACATTATGTGCCAGAAGAGATGAAGCAACATTCACACATTGGAAACAATGATCATCGGAGAGTTTGTGAGGCACCCAAACACTTTCTTTATGGAGTTTTCCCATATTCCTTAGATGTTTACATATTGTTTCATGAGAGACATTCAATAGCAGGGCCATTTCACAAGTGTGTTACCTTGGGTTAGACTCAACAAGTATCTTCAGAGCATCAATATCAATTCCAACATGTTGGTCCCTGTCATCACATTTCTTAAGGCTACAGTCACCTGAATGAAATTTGCTGAACCATCGTTGACACTTATGAATGTTCAAAACATTTCCATAAACTTCTTTGATATTCTTTGTGGCTACAGAGGCATTGTTTTCCTTCTTGTATTCAAACAGCATTACATGCTGAATGTGTGTCTTGTCGTGTGGCATCATTATAAGGGATTAGAGTATACTAAACCTTACACATTAAATAGGCTACATTAATGTGAAGTTTGGGTGGTTTGTTTAACTATTATACATGATGTACATTTTTTGGGGGGGAATGGTCAATGAAAATGTTCCAAAAGGCAACATTAATTTCTTCATGATCTAATACATTTACAACTGAATAAAGGAATTAGGCACCAAAAACCTACTGTATCGAAGGGGTTCTTTTGACATTTAAACTCAGTTGAATTCTTTTGCGAGCATTCAGCACCAAGCCAGTCATCTGCAATGAATAAATTATGATACTGAAAAGAAATTTTAATCAATTATAATAACTAGAACTATATTTAAAACATTATTCTTTGGTAATCTATAAAACTTCTATATACACTAAAAAATGTTAAATAAACAAACATCCTCTTACTGGTTCAATGGTCCAGAAAAGTTTGATGCTGTTCCAAACTAAAAAATGTTGAATAAAGAAACATCCTCTTACTGGTTCAATGTCCAGAAAAGTTTGATACCGTTCCAAACTAAAAAATGTTGAATAAAACAACATCCTCTTACTGGTTCAATGTCCAGAAAAGTTTGATACCGTTCCAAACTAAAAAATGTTG